GGTGTTTTCTCATATTCTTTATTTTTGTTGTTTTTGAATTTCTTGAGTGCCTCCTGTAGGTTTTGGTTGACCATGTCTAGTAACATCTCTGTAACATTTTCATTGATTACTTGCAGGATTTCTTCTTTCAGGGTGTTCTTAAGGTCTTTGTTGGGTTCCTTGGTATAGTTTATTTTGTTGGAGTCTGGATCTGGGTATCCATTTTCTTCATTTTGCTCTGAATCCTGTACTACTTTATTTTTGGGGGGAGAATGGCTTCCATCCCTTTTTCATCTACCCATATTTCCACTAGGTACTGTTTTGGTCCCTAGACTATGTGTAATTTAGTATTAGCTGGTTTACAATATTAATACTCACAAAACCAAGAGAGAAGGAGAAAGAGGAGAAAGAGAAGGAAAGAAAGAAAGAAAAAAGAGAAAAAATGGGAGAGATGGTGGGTGATCAAACAGCAAATCAGACAGCCAAACTCTTAAAGAAGGGAAGAAAAAAAAATCACCAGTTCTGGAACAGTAGAATTACAGTCTTAGTTGTTCTGGTGTTACTCCTTTAGCATCCAATTCTGTCTGTGTCTCTTATGCAGATTTGGAGCCCTCCTGTGGTGGCCTGCCAAGCAGGGGCCTGGTGGAGCAGCTATCTGGCAAGTCTGTAGAGCTGGGGCCCAAGGGGCCCAAGGGGCCCAAGAGGCGGGGAAACCGGTGGAGCGGAGCAGTGGCTCTGCGGGCCTATGGGGCGGAGACTTGGCAGGCAGGCTGTTCTTTTAGTAGATCATGGTGTGGAGAAACCTTCCATGATCTAGAGGTTTAGAGTGCTATACTTTCAGCTCTTCCTGGTGCTTTACCTCAAACAAGCATGTCTCCAGTTGCCATCTTGGGTTCCCCTCAAGGATTTCTGTTTGATTCTTTTTTCTGAGGTTTTCCATATCTTTGTTGAGCTCTCCTCTTTCATATCTTGTGCTGTCTTTATTTCATAAATCTCTTTTTATAATCTCTTTAGTTTCATTTTGGAATTTGTTGAAGTCCTCTCTGAGTTCATTTAATTGTTTCTGTGTCTTTGTAAGTTTTTTATTTGTGTTGTCTTGATATTTTTTGAGTTGATTTTGTATGGTCTCTTTAAATGCTCCTGCAGCTCCCCTATCAGATCCTCTTTGAGCATCTCTTTATGTAATTCATTGAGCTCATTGGCCTTATCATCATTCTACTGGGGTGAGCTACTAGGTATTCATTTCCTTCATTTTCCACCAAATCTTCTATTGAATTAGTCCTTCGAGGAGTTGTATTCCCCTCCCTTCTTCTCCCCATGCTTCTATTTTGTGCTGTGCTCCTGTGTTATTGATTGGATAGTTGGAAGTTTTAATTACCTGTTACTTTTCCCTTGACTTAACTACTATGTTGTGACTGGGTTTAGTCATTAACTAGGTTGATGTGCTATTTTTGTTCCTGACCCAGAGATACAAATTAGCAATAACAAATTCGCAGACTCAATGCCAGACTAGTTATTACATAATATATATAGAACCCCTTGGTGATATTATCTATAGGCAGTGGGAATTAGGGGGAAAACATTTGTTTGGGTAGAGACAGATACTTAGGTAATTAAAAAGATGGTGCTGCGAGGCAGAAGTGGAGGGAAGCAATGACCGGGGGAAGAGGTGTGTGGGCTACAGGGTATTAGAGCCCTTGTGTTTTGTAGGGTCTAATTCAGTTGTTGTGGAGGAGGGTGCTTGTGTTAGGGATTGAAGAGGGACAGGATGGATGGGGATGGAAAGGAAAGTGAGGGAAAGCTGGGGTGCCTTCAGAAAAGGAAAAGGAGAGACATGCTGGAAAAGAACTAGGGAGGCAAGACCTGAGAGGGGCCCTCAGCCATCAGAGGAACACTCTGAGAGAGATGAGAGCATGTCTTTCTTACAGGCTGGGGTTTTTAAGCATGCTGTGGTGAGAAAGAGGGAAGGTTGGAAGGGGATGGGCATTAGATAAGGTGCTGGGAAGGAGGATGGGGAGGTATTGGTGGGAAGGTCATGGGGATGGGCACCTTTGTGTGTTGTTTTTCTCTGGCTCTCTTACCAGAGGTAGCCACATTTGAATTGTTCCAGTGTTTCTCAACATTCCAGTGAGGATAATGCATAGGATTGGTACAGTAGTACACTAGTTAGAAGGTGGTGAGTGTGGAGGAAGTAGGGGCAGTGGGGTGAAATGTAGGAGGAGGTGAGGAGGATAAGGTGAAGACAGAAGGAGAGAATGGGAGACAAGCACAGACAACATAGTTGGGGGAAAGAAGGGAAAGTAGGGCAAGAGAGGGATAAGCCTGTTGATATTTATGCAGAAAGGAAGAGGGGAGATAGTTAATAAAAGACTATAGCACAAGAAAAGGAGAGGAAGTAAAGAGAGTAAGAATAAAGATAAGATAATAGTAGTAATGAAATTAAAAATACTACATAAAAAGGGGGTGGCAATCAGTTCACAGAACACTCTGGATTTATTCCTTTGGCACCAAATCCACATACTGATGCTTTTGACCGGGCTTTCTCAGTATCCCTGTCCCTTCTCAAGGTTGGTATGCTGGGCCATGTGGTGATGGATGCTGCCTCTTTTTGTCAGACAGCTTAAGGGGGAGTCGGCTTGGGGTTTTGGAGCCCAGTGTTTCCTTGGTCTGATGGGCTGTCTGATGCAGGTGGGATCTCTAACGAGGTCTCCCAAAGAGGCTGGTTAGTGAGCAGTAGGTGTTCCCTTTGGCCCACAGGGCACATTGCTGTTTGGCTCCATGGTTGCTCACTACCAGATTCTCCAAGGTGGTCAGATGTGTTTCTGTTTTCACCAGGCAGCACTGAGTTGCTCCACAGCTGCTTTAGCTCTGGGTGGTAAGCCCCACTCCCAAGAAGGCAGGGCAACTCAGCTTTGTGCCCTACCCATAGTCCCAGGAGATAAGCTCAGAGATCTGCCATGCCCCCACTCTGGCCCTGCCCCTGCTCTGAGAGATCAGTTCTGTATTCTGCCCATGCCAGGCAGCAGTGAATTATATTCTCTGTCTATGCCACTCAGTTTTTTGTGGATACAATCCACCCACAAGCTGTGCTGTATTATGTTCCCACCTGTTGGGGTTGTAGATTCATACCTGGGGAGGTTGTAATGTAGGCTGTGTCCACATGAAATGGGTCTAGCACATCACAGAATACAGTCTTCTGCTTTTTTCAAGAGAAAAAATAAGATAAAAGGGAGAATGGCTAGTGGCTTTTCCTGAGGCAGACCAGAAGCTGTTCTGTTCTCAGCATATGCTTTCAGCTGTGCCATTGACATGCTGGATCTTCTCTGGCTGTTATGTGCAATTAAAAGCTGTTTTAAGACTTATCACAGAATTCAGTTCAGTTTGACCCATGGTCTTCTGCTTTTTCCTAAGAGAAAAGAAAAAAAAAAGAAAAAGAAAAAAGAAGAAGGGAGAAATGGCTGGCAGCTTTCCCCAAGGCAGACTGGTGGTTGTCCCAGTCCCAGCTCACACTGATGCCTGTGCCAGGACTTCCTTGGCTGTTATGTACAATAAAAAGCTGTTTTAAGGATCAGTCAATGAATTTTATGTGCACCTATGTGTTAGTGGTAATTTGGTTGGCTAAAAAGAATCAGAATTACCTAAATATACCTACCACAACTATAAAGTGTTTTCTAAAATTGTGGAACTCAGAACTTCTGCTTCACTATGCTATCTGCCATCTTGAATCTCCATAAATATTCTTACTAAATTAAATCAATACACTTATGTTGAAAGACAGACACTTGAGAAAGTGGTTGAATAAGGAGAAGGAAGGAGTTTGGGGGATGAAGGCCATTTTCCCCTGAGTGACTGAGGAGCTTTGTAAAAGCAACTTCAGAGGCTGAGTTCAAAGAGAAAATTTAACTTTTTGGCAAGAAAGGGGAAGTGAATTACAGTTTGCCAAGATAAGAAAAGAGCTTAAGAGGCTGAATACATACTGTAAATGGCTGAAAGGAGACATTATGGATCACTTATTAAATATGGAGTCACTTCACAGCCTAACTAAAGAATAATAGTTATAGGTACTGAGAGATCACTGTATGCTAGGAATTATTTAATCTTTTTCCGAGATTATGAGTTTGGTACTACCTATTCCACTGTCCTCTAGCAGAAGCATTCAGCACCTCACCCAGGACACATGGCTATTCTATGAACTCACTGGCTATAACCTGTGTTGTGCCGGCCTTCTCTCATGGGGGCCAGTCATATAATCCTCCTTACTTTGCTTTTCACATCTAACTCATATGAGAAAATAACTATGCTTCCAAATAAAGAAATGCTCAGGATTTTCTCTTGTATTTTGATCTCATTTTAAGGCATTTTTTAGAATATGTCAATGTTGTATTTTGATCTCATTTTAAAACATTTATAGAATATGTTCACCTACTCTTAACACCATGTCATGCTTTGCCATTAAGCTGGGAAAGGAGAAATACTATGTAATATCACTTAAATGAAGAATCTAAAATTGTCCAGTAAAATGGTGGTTGCTGAGGCTGAGGCGAGAAGGAAACCAGGCAGTAATCTATTAGTAAAGAATATGTAGTTTTCTTTTTCAAGTTGACTAAGTCCTAGAGATCTACTGAACAGCATAATTCTTGTAGTTAACAATATGTATTGTATACTTTAAATTTTGCTAAAATCATGGTATAACTTATGTGTTCTTATTACAGAAATTACAATAATAAACAGTGAGTAAACATCTGTAGGGGAATAGATATGTTTATAACATAGTCTCTAGCAATGGTGTCACAGGTGTATAACAGTCCTGAAGCTGTATATGGTTTAGGAAGGTATACAATCAACACATAGACATCTCTCAATCATTCTCCAATAAGGTGAGGAAGGAAAGAAAGAGGCAGTACTGTGAATCCTTGCAGGTAAAGCGTTGTTGCAATACTTTGTCAGATGACACTGGAGGTAAAACATGAAAGTCTTTAGAGGGAAATATGTCATTGATCTCTTTGTCCTTTTCGTTTAAGCCCAGAGGACTCTGGAACTTACTGAAATAAAATGAATCCTCATCATTACTGCCAGCGCAAGGAAAGGCTTCAGTAAGGAGAAACCCTGATCACATCATAAACCATCACAAAATCCAGGGCTGGAATATGTAATTTGATTCTGAATAAAAAATAATAAATGTAAGTTTGGTTTTTTTTCAAGTGTCCATTGCTTAAATTCACCTTGAAAACATGTCACTCCTTCAAGTCCTAACACAATTATTGAAACAATTCATCTTCCCCACCTTCCACCCCATTTCTGTTTTCAGCACAGGTAACAGGAAAAAGTTATTTTTCCAGATACTTTCTCAGTTTCCTCAATTGAAAAAAGAAAAGCAGAAAATGGGTGAAGATCCAGGTAGTCCATTGCAGACAAATGGATTGATATGGGTGGCATTTCACAAGGGGCAAGTGGATGGGAAGGGAGGAGGGAGCAGATGGGAAGGGGGCAGCATTGGGGTACTGCTTGGGCTCCTGGTGCGGTTGCAGGGCAGGTGACAATGCACAGGCCCTCTGTGTGTCTCTGTCATTGCTGGATGCGCACCCTGGTCCTTGGAAGACAGCAGTGCCCTTTCGCAGCTGCACCTGGCCACCTGTGCTGTGGGGAGCTAGAATGAACAACCTGGTGAGCAGACCCAGGGATGGGAGGAGGCACAGAGTGGGAAATGTATAAAATAGCAGCATGTGTATGTTTAGGAGTGAGGCTTTCTTTCTGGTTTCCTTTGCCTCAATCTCTGTGTATTTGCTTTTAAATAGCTGACTACCAGTCCACAGTCATGGGTCTGGTGTATGTCTGTTTTTTCTCTTGTCCTAGAACACAGATTTTTCACTAGGAAAGCCAATCTCTTCTGCATTTTCTCATTACAATCTCTGCTGGGGCCTGGATTTTCATGTGAGGGGGACAGAATTTTTTTTTTAATGGTATGGAATTAGGATATGCCCATATCTTGTTAACATTACTTTTCTCTTTTTTAAAAATTTGCCTTTTGAAACCAAATACATAATTTTCATTAAATAGTTTCATACAATTTCAAGCAAATGCCAACTAGAAGCCCAAGTCCAGGAATTCACAGAGGAAACAATCTTCCAGACAACAAGGAATATCAAGGTGATCATCTTCCACTCTAGCCACAGTATTGGTGGCCGTGATGATGGCAGTCTGCCAGTGGAATCCAGATAATTGGGTTTCTACCACATCATCGTTTTCAGTTTCAGTTGCTAGGGTCAGAGTGCTGACTGAAACCAAGAGAGGCTGGACAACCATTTCTTCCACAATGTTGGAAATACCTCCCTTTTGATCATTAATCCCTGATGTTTTTTCTCCATGGGAATGCTGGTTTCTTTATTCTCTTACTGTAGAATTGGGATTAAGGCCAGCTTTTTCAGCTAGTATAGATGGAATGACCTCCATTGCATCTGTGAAAGCACAAACACCATAGGATTCCATGCCACTCACTGTTCATGAATATTCAGTCAATCTTAGGGCCAACTCTATTTGTGGGGCACTGCCTCCTGCAATAAGACCTCTCTTCTTCACTAAGTAGCAAATAACACACAGGGCATAGTGAATGGAGCACTAAGCTTCTTCCAGCACTAGCTTGTTAGAACCACATACAATCGTAACAGTTTTTCCAGGGCTTGCACAGTCCGTAATCCTGAGTAGTTTTCCAGAACCATTTAAATTGACTTCCTCAGCTAACTTAGCAGAACCCAGTATGTCAGCAGTGCATTGGTTAATATGGAAAACTGGTTTAGTTCCAGTTGTCTTACAAATGAACTTGATGTCTTCTCTTTCAATATCCTTAACCACCATAATTTTCATCTTGTTCAGAAAATGTAATGCAAGATCACAAAGGGCATTTCTTAGGATAGACTTCTGTATAAGAAGGACATTACATTCTGTCTTTCAAATCTGCTTCACTAAATTTAAAATATAAGCCTTCTCTTATTGCAGAGCTCTGTCCATCTGGGCATTGTCAGAAATGATTTGATTATCCATATCTGCTTTGAAAGCAAATAAGCAAAACTGAATAAGCCCAGTCTTAGCCTTTCAACTCTGGATATGCCAGAATCACCACTCTTTGGATGAGAATGAGCCTCTTCACCAACTCACAGTCATCAATTGTCCCACTGAGTTCCTTAACTATTTTAATATCTCTGAGATCTATACTAGTAGCTGTGGCTGAGTCAAGCACTTTCATCACTGCATTTACACTCATTGGAGAAAGCAGACTTGAATACTGAGTCACAGCCTTTGAGTTCAACGAAGTAGTTGCAGAGTGTTGTTGGAGGTGCTGAGTTGCAGATAGTAGGAAATGGGAGCTCAGGCCTGTGAGACAGCAGGTGGGGTCTGCTTTATGACCAGTAGAATTTCTCTGCAATTAGTCAGTGGTACTCAGAGATTGCTTGGCTCTGTGGAAACCTTGTTAAATATTTCTCACATACCAGTTTCAAAACTGAATCAATCATATTGTTCCAGGGCAATGAAGCAGGACTGCTGTGTGAGTTAGAGTTTGTTCATCCCTCACAGCTGTGATTTGGTCATAGACAGTAACAACATAATTTTATATTTTTGTGTCTACATTTTGAAACCAACAATCCTTTTCACATGGGGGAGGAATATGGTACTGTGGTTATGGTTATGAGCTCTGGAGTCAGACTACCTGGGCTTAAATCTTGGCTGAACCACTTCCTATCTGTGATGTTGAGAAAATGACTTTTTTATGCTTCATATTCTAAATTTTGGCAATGGTAATAACAATAGTGCCTCCTTGACAGGTTTATGTGAAGTACTGGAAGAAATAGTTTATCTGAAGTGCTAAGAACAGCGTTTAGTACATTATGTGTCAATAAATGTTAATATTGTTATCATTAGTGGTTGTCACCTTCTACAAAATGTAAAGTTACTATTATTTTGATACTTTGATATTTTGTGTGTGTTTTTTTTATAATTGCAGTCATTTATTTTTGTCCCCTATTGTTTCAAATAAGACAATCATGTACTCATTACCTTAGAGGAATAATACCACCACAGAAAAGCAAAAGAGATATTTCAGGAGTCAGTTTTACAATAGCAAGAGCCTAGGAATTTGAGCTCCAAAACCTAAATGCTGAACAACTAGGAGAAAGTTAATGCCAGAAAGAGTTGACCTGAAGAGTGCTGGGTGGTAGAGAAGCCAACTTTCCTGACACCAGGGGAGATAGGTGCTTTCTAGGCTGAGAGAGCAAACAGGGACTAACTAATTAATGACTGGGGTCAGAAACCAGTTTGCATTCTGAAAAGGAAGTCTTGTGCTTGGTCCCTTGCAGGAGTATTTAGAAAATAGAACCTGCAAGTAGGTGTTGAGGTCCTCACTTCCCTAGTGAGCACTATGGGAAGTGACATTCCTGTCCACATCCACCATGGCAGGGGAACAGTAAAACAGAGATGGATAGATATGGGCAGGTAGGCAGAAAGCCTTGTAGAATTTCCCTTTATTCAGTATAAGGAGAACCTAGGGCAGCATATAAGAACACAAGGTAATACCAGCTTGCCACATAAGCAGCGGTTATACAAACCAGTGGCCATGGGTGTTGAGGGGAGCACAGCCATCCTGGCAAATGCCAGGCAGATAGTTGTAACCGACTACTAGCCCCATTCTACATCCTGACACTATGTCAGCTCCTGGGAATGTAGATTCAAGTCAGAGATGGAGGCAATCCTGGAGTTTGTGTGGTGGGAAGCTGAATCAAAGAGATGTTGCACCATTGATTGAATTCAGTTTCTGCCTCCAGTTGGGATAGCAAAGTGAAATAAAATAAAGTTCAGTTAAAGAAAAATAGAGAAAAGTTATACTTCTCATTTACCTTTATTGTAGAAAAATACAGAAGTAAATAAATAGTAGGGAAAAGTTACATCTCTTGCCATGTGCCTTTGGATGAATGTACCTGCGGCCCAAAGGAAGAGATCATGAGGCACTTGTGAGTTGCATTCACCTGAGCACTCTGCCTTCTCATTTCGTAGCAAGGAGATGCCCAGAATAGCGTTCCCTTGATAGCCGTATGGCTTCTAAGAAGTTAAGCATTTTTGCCCAGACACGAGAAAATAAACCATTGGAAAGAAGTTTCTACTGTCTTTTTAAATATGCAATTTATATAAAATTTGCAGGAGAATCTGCCTCAACAAGCACAAGGCAGCTGCTCTGAAAAGTGTTTCCGTTTGAGTTTTATTCTTTTCTTTCTTTTTTTTTTAGTGGAACCAGGGTTTGGACTTAAGGCATTGTACTTGGAAAGCAGCTGCTTTACAGCTTGAGCCACACCTCCAGTCCATTTTGCTCTGGTTATTTTGGCGATGGGGTCTCACCACCTGTTTCCTTGAGTGGAGCTTGAGCTGCAGTTCTCCCAATCTCAGCCTCCTAAGTAGGATTACACGTGCGAGCCACTGTCACCCGGCTGAGTAATATTCTTGATACTAGCATAAGTAGGCTGGCTATTCAGGAAGTGGTTGCTACTTGACATATGTTCCCTCTGTGTTTCCTGTGTTTACTTAAGGCAAACTGATTTCCCAAGATCTTTGAGATCTTGCTCTTGGAATGGTGGCTCTGAGAGCAGTGTTCCAAATTGCAAAGAACAATTGCTATCATGAAAGAGCTACACTGTGGCTTTCCCTCCCCACATTCTGAGCACTCTGTTATTTCTTCTATTTGTAACCTTTGGTTCTGCTTCCACAAAACCAAAATTCTCTGGTGGACAAAAACATAACTATAACCTTCCCTGAAATGATTTGATTGGAGCTTCCTTGACTTTCTCTAAATGCAATACCCAATTTCTATACTTTCTGTCTTCAGGTGTTCTGTCAGCTGTCCACCTACAGCCTGATTTGGGGGATGGCAGCAGTGGTGCTGTGCACAGCACAAGGTAAAGATGCTCAGTTCCCCTGCCTGGAGTCCAGCAAATGCCATGTCTGTGCTGGGGACTTAGATCACTACTGTTTGTGCTGTGCTGGTCCCATTTGTCTGCATGAATCATATCATCTGTTGGAAAGAGTGGGCCTGGTTCTCTCTGCTTTCCCATATTTTTATTTTCAGTGTTGAAGAACAATTTGATATTTAGAAGCTGTTTTCATAGATGAATTAGACTTAAGAAAAATATCCTCTCCAAAGTAAAACAGGTCATATTTCACCTACTGAATTGAAAATCTTAAAATAGTAATTCCCTGTATTGGTAAGGATATGGGGATGGTTGGGGGAATCAGAATGGATAGTCTTTTTGAAGGGGAACCTGGCAAGTCTTAAAATGAGGTTTTCTCTCTTTTTGCAGAAAAAATGGAGAAAATAATGAATATAGAGGTCACGAAGGTTCACACTATCTATTATATAAAAAGTGTGCCCGTGCTATCTATTTATCTGAATTTGTGAGTTCTTCAAGCTCTCATCCATAGGAGATCACATTCACTTTTAATCCCTTTAATCCCCCTTAAAATCCCTTTCAGTGTGATGTTGATCACCATCAGCCTCTGCTAAGAGGGGAAGGCAGTGGTGGTGAAGGAAGGCACAGTATACCGTCCACAGTACACACCGCAGGTGTATTCAGATTCTGAATTTCCAAAAACAAGAAAATCTCCCAAGACTTGAATTCTAGCTTTGATCCCTTTCCTACTCTGGATTCTAAAAGTAATAATTTCTTCACATCTCTGCTCTGCAAAATCTCAACAAGGTTTCAAGAAATCTCAGCCTCAACAGTCATTGCCTCCCAGAATCTCTCTGGTCTTCCAAGAGTGCCAGTCAACAAATCACAGGCCACTCAACAGTCAGGGGGCCCAGGGTCTCTCTGGATACTTTCTGCCCCTAATACTGTTGGGGAGTCAATGTTTGTACAACCTTCCCTTTTCTACTCACACTTACCAATATTTCATCTATTTTGTTAATCTTAAAGGACAAAATACGGGTTTTGCACCAAGTCTACATTTTGCGTATCTGTTCATTACATTGTACTGTTGTCTTAATAATTCCCTTCTATATTTTGGAAGGGAGTAAAAACCTTGTATTTATTTTTCATTCTATCATGTTTTCTAATAAGTGTAAATAGGATTAAATTAGTTTCTCTAACTTACATTGAGTTGAAATAGTTTATAATAGCAAATTTTTCCTGATATACTAAGTTAAAAGAACTGTATAAATTTCTGATTTTATTGCACAATGGACAGTATTCAAGACCTTAGGGGAGCAAGGTTTTGTAACCAATTTCAAGTTCAATATTGGGGAATATTTTGAGTGTTTGAAAAGATGATAATTTTCTCCTTGAGTAATGTATGTTTGAGTAATGAATATACATATAATAAAATATGTAGTGTATTGACATATAAATGTTACATATTTAAATTAAATGTAGAAAGTATATGTGAGTATTTACTTTTCAAATTTTCTGTATCTTTATATTTGACTTGTGTGCATTCATGATTTTTGATACATGGAATTAAAAATTCTGAGAGATGTACAGGAAGCTCCCTTGTCATGGTTGTAGATCTATGAATTCTTTTTTATAATTTTATTAGATTTTTCTTTATATATTTCACAGTTAAACTGTTAGGCATGCGAAGATTCATGATTAATATACCTAATTTTGGAATGCTATTGTTATCATTTGAAAAACAATTTTTCCTCCTAATAGTGCTTGCCAGAAAGAAACAAAGGATAGTATATGTGTCCATACAAAAGAAGGAAGGAAAACAGTCAAGGCAAGACAATTAAAACAGCCAGAGAGATGGCAAAGAAAAAGCAAAAATGAGATGTCAAGACAGACCAACTATTTGTTCTTTAAACAAGCATTATATTGCCCAACAGGTTTAGATTAATTAACTGAGCAAACACTAATTGAGCACCAGTTTTGTAGTACACATTATGTTATTCATTTGTGATATGCAGATTAATAAATTACAAACTTTGGATTACCTGAATTTACTAGATTTTCCTAGGAGGGACATGAACTCTGTTAGAGTAATATTCAATAATACAATGCACAAGAAGATATCAGCAAGCAAAATGAAATGTATAGCTGTTGGTCTTACTTTTTGGGGTACTGAGGTTGAATTCAGTGCTTGCTAGGCAAGCTCTCTACCACTTGAGCCGCACCTCCAGCCCTTTGAACTTTGTTTTTCACATAGGGTCTTTTATTTTTGCCCTGGCTGGCCTGGACCAGGATACTCTGATTTATAACTCCCATCTAGCTAGGGATTACAGTCATGTCCCATTACACCCAGATTATTGGTTGAAATGGGGTCTCACTAAATTTTTGTGAGTGTTAGCTTCAAACTGTGATGTTCCCAATATCTTCCTCCCAGGTAACTGGAATTCCAAGAGTGAGCCACTGTGCCAGGCCTGCTTGGTACAGAATAGGAAACTGTGTGTGTGTTTGTGGATGAACATGCACAAAGTATGTGTGGCAGTAGAATTGGGTTGGAAATGTGTTGTGGTGGAGGCTGTGAGACAGCCTTTGCTCAAAAGTCCAACTAGAAGGGTTATTACAAAAGTTGTACAATACATAGAGAAGCAGAGCTGTTTGGCAGTCAAGTCAGCAATGGAAAAGATCAAAATGAATGTCTGTATTCATCTGAGTCTTTGGGCAAAGGCATCAAAGGGAGACCACCTAGAGAACCTGGCTAACTCCAAAGAGAAATGAGCTGAATGATAACCTGTAGATTTTCAAGGGGCAAACTGACAACAGTGTATATTTTAGTGAGAAGTAGTGATAGTTCTACACTCATGGGACAGGCTGAGCATAAACACTTCGAAAAGTGGTCTGAAAATAGTCTGCTTTATGGATTTTGAGGATAATATTTAACACAAGTAACATATTTGGATAGGTACAGATTATGTAATTTTATGAAATTGTGCCAGTGGTCATTATTTCCACTACATGGTGTTCATATTCATCTTTGTTTTCATTTTCTTTCTCACTAAAAATATTTTGATTTGGGGAATTTTGCAGAAAAAAAACAGAAATGTGATTTCTGTTTCCAGAATTTCATTACACATCACAAGCACATTCTCTCTATTATTTCATCATATTTTTAGTTATGCACTAACTTTTTTAAAACTTCCCCTTCCTGCTTTCTTAACCCAAGGAAATAATTATTGCAGCTTAAAAAATCCAAACATGGCTGACCAGATTCACCCAAGGTCATGCCAGGACCAGCTCTACCTAGTGTTTCTAAATCCTCTTCTCTTTTGAGATTCTGGTCTGGTTGCTTGTTTCTACTGTTCTATTGCTTCCTTTTAACTGACAAACCATTCTTGCTGACTTGGTATGTTCAGTAGCCTGCCCCTGGTCCTTGCTTTAGCAACTGCTCATAAGTAATTCCCAAGGGAAACCCTGATGACTGGCTTTTGGTCATTTACCTCACAGATACATGGTCCCTAGAGCATAAGATGTAGAAGAGATGGAAGAATTAGAAAGCTTACTTTTGTCTGTGCTAATTTAGCTGTGTGGGAGGAAATTGCTGCCCTGCAGGTGGTGATACCTAATTTGGTGAGGCAATAGGGAAATCTGTTGGTGAGACCAAGTAGGCATAAGCCAAATCCTTCATGGAATTGCTACAGATGTTCAAACAAGTTAGTTTGATCCCTGAAAAAGGGATATCACTTGTGGCAGATTACTGTTCAAGAGAGATTACCCACACCTTGTAGATCTCCCATTTCCTAAGTTAGACTGAGCAAGTAAAATCCTAGGATTTTAGGTTTCCTAAATTCCTGAATGACTGGAATAGCTGCAAAATGAAAAGGAGTGCACACTATTGGAGGCTGATGGTGCAGTCTGTATTCAGAAGACTTCCAAATTCTTTGTGTTCCACCATGAAGAATCCATAGCAGGACACCTGGGAGTACATGGAGTTTATTAAAAATTAGAGAAGGGAAATACAAAAGGGAGTATGGTAGGCCCAGGAGACTCTTGAGGCTGAGAGAGAGATATTCTCTTCTCCAGGTGCTTTAAAACTTATGCTAACATATAGGAAGGGAAGAATCAGATGATTTCCATCTAATAATCAAGAAGTGGGGAGGGATCTGGACAGTT